TTCAAGATTAGAGTGGTGCTGAGCACACTTTGGGGAAAGTTTGATGGAATAGGTGATTGCTCAGGTCATCATTCCATCAGGTTTCAGACACAAAAGCCTTTTGGCCAACACCCATTGTCTTAACCTCTTGCTACTCAAAGTATAGACTGTGGCACAGGGTGTTTGTTTAAAAATGTAATCTCTGGGGCCTCCCCTGGTTGTGCATGCAGTTGAGCGCAGCGCTGGTTCTATCCCAGCTGGCCGGCAAGGGTCCCACATGGTGCGGCAGACCTCTCCTGTCTCGCCCGCTGCTCCCCTCAGCAGCATATTTCGTCAGTCTGCCTGTTCTGTTCCCGCTCTGTCTCTGGTGAATCCTCTCACCCTCCTGCAAATCTGGCCTGTACCCTGGTTCTTGTATAAATAAATAAATCTTTAAAAAAAAAGTAATCTCTGAGTTCCCAACTCAGGTCTACAGGAAAAGAACCAACATTTGAAGCAATTTCCAGTGGTGATTGATGAGTGTGTTATGATGGGAAGGCCTGGTCTAAAGAAAGCCCTTTTGCTAGATGGTTGGTGACTTTCTGCTGGGCTCTACAGGTGGGATGTCTTTCCTGAACACATGTGGTTGAGAGACTTGGATGCAGAGGTGTATTCTAGCTGAGCAGCAGGTCATCTCTTATCTACAGTGCGATTTCTCAGTGTGTGAAAGAAGGCAGTTCTAAAGCTCAAATCAGATCCCATCAGAATAATGCTAGACACTCTTGGAAACATTGCTGAGCTTTGCTCTGTACTTGTGCCTATTTCAAATCTTATTAAGTCAGGAAGTAGTGCCTGGCAAGTGGTTTATCCTGCTTGGCTATTCATGCTTCCCAATTCATTTTTATTGTGCTAATTAAACTTCAAGTGATATTACAAGTGCAGATTGTTTTTTCCATTATTGAATCTTTGGCCAGCATATTAATGCTGTAGAATTAACGTGAGTCAGATGCTTACTCATTTGTGGAAGACTTTACATTTAAAAGATCTAGACTTGGCCAATTTTGCACAGATTCCTTTGGAAACAGTTATGACAGGGTGATACAATTCTCTATAAATAAAGGAGACTCACTCTTCCCTCACACATAGATACACAATTATTTTTTAAATGAACCAAATTCCTAGATCATGGATCTGTATTGGTGTTTGTGGTCTCTGTTAAAATTGAGTAGATGCAGTCCAGGGAGGTAGTAAAGTGTGATGGGGAAAATTCTGAGTTTTGGGTCTAAATCCCAAGACTAGATGGTTGGCAACTTCGGAAGGTATATTTGACTTTTCCAAAATGTATATCCTTTATTGAATAAGACAAAATACTTAACTTCAAGATTTGTTTAAGGATTAAAAATACCAATAATTTAAAGTATTAGACAAGAATTTCTGGTTTGGTGAATGCCCAGTGAATGCTATTGTTTAATGTAATTAAAAAACATTTTTAGACTTATTAATCATACAAAATTAGGCTTGTAGAAAAAGTATTAGATTTTATAGGGCACAATATTATTCCCCACTGAGGATCTTTTTATTTTAGCTTTTCCTATTCAGAATTTCTAGACTATTAGGTACATTTGTAAAAATGTAGGCCCTTTCCCCCATAGGTTTGTATTTAAGGTGCAACAAGGGTGTCTCCATGCTCCATTGGTGGAGTCTGATTGGAGAAGACCATAACTTGGGAATGAGGCCCTGGCTTATTGGTGCTTCCTGATTGAGTGGTTTAATCTGTTTTAGTATAAAAATTGGGAAAAAGTTAACAAAGCACAAAAGTTGCAACGTGGAGAGCTGATGGATGAGTAGTGAATGACCGGAGTGCTGAGAATGCTGGTTATCAAGTCAGTGATGGGGAAAGTCAAGGGGCAACTTGCTTTCTATCCAGACTCCTACAAGGCTCATAAAGTGATGCCAAATACAGGCTGTTGGCTGAAGGTTTGTTAAGCAACATTTAAATCCATTTTCATCCCAAGTGACTATGTGCCTTCCTAGCAGAGAACTGGAGACTTATTTTCTAAAGAAGATAGAGCTAAGGTCCTGAGGAACTCTAGGTAGAGTTGAGGATTTGAGAACCATTTTGAAAATGATGGATTTCCATTCTGAATATTGACATTTCTATTCTTCTTCCTCTTCCAAGGAGAATATTGAAGAACATTACCTGTAAAATTTGACCATTCCCTTCCCCAAGTGTTTTATAATATTGACATCAGGTGCTAACCAGTAGAGGCCAATAATATTGTCCTGCGGTGTGGTTGGAAATTCATGAATGTGCATTGCCTCTGATACCTCCTTCTTAAAGATGTGTAAACAGTTAAGAAAAATCAACTATGTGATAAAAACTTATGAGAGAGAAAAACAAACACAAAATAATCAAAAAGAGAAAGGAAAAACAGTGCAAGAGATGGTTGATATGGAGGGAAGAAATATTCAAATGAATTTTCATTAATATCTCATAGAAATCAGAAGCAAAACAGGATGCTATAATATTAGAAGACTATTCAGGAGCAGTAAAAAAGGCTTGGAAAATAAAACAATGACAGAGAAGAAAAACCTCCAAAGAAAGTTTGTATTGTAAATATGAGGAAATTTCCTTTAAATAGAAAAGAGATAAAAAGATGGAAAATTGGAGAGAAAGGATTAAACACTTTGAGGGGCTATCTAGAAACTTCAACATCCAAATAATAGGTGCTCTGAGTGGTGGGGAAGTATAGCATCAGAGTTGTGCTGGCATAATTTTTTTTTCTTAGTGGTACATATCACAGTGTTCTATCCTATAATGAATGCTATCTTAAATTTGATAAAACTTCATAACCTTTACATGTGATGCATCAGCTGTTAGTGGGGTTTATATACTCAAATGAGCTTTACCCCTAAATATAGACAACATAACTTCATAGCAAAGGGAAGATATGAAGACATAAAATGTCAAGTTTGGTATGGGCATGTATGACAGTGACCTAAGTTTTATCCTCAATGGTCAGAGGTCATTAGATAATATTAAAATAGAAAAATCAAGGAGTAGCAATATAAACATGGTATGTAGTGATGTAGGGATCAAAACCCAAAACTGAGTGGAAAGAGGTGAAATTAGTGCCTGTAGGGTACAGGAATTAGTGTGACATGGCTACTGTTTTTCACACATAGTTTAGTGTTTTTTCATAACAAGTTTTGTTACAGACTTTAAACTACGTGATTGCATGTTTTGATTAAAAACTATAAAAAGTATTTTTGAAAAGTCACCTAGATCATACTGCCGAGTCTTCAAGGAGATTTTTCATTAAGTAAACCATTTCTTTCATCTTGCCTTGACATGCTTCTTAATAAATTAGAAAGCTTAATTGTCATAGACGTTGTCACTGGATATTAGAGTTAGAAGAAATTTAAATTAGATCTTCTAAATGAACTGCTGAATCTTAGAGAGAAGAAAACACATTGGGAGAAGAGGAGAAATGATTCACCCAGGCTACATAGTACAGGCAGGCTTAGGAGTGGGGGTCCTGACTCCTAATCCAGTGCTCCTTCCTGTTCACTGGGCTGCCGCTGGATCACCCCATATGCTTCATTGTCCTGTATGCCACAGAGTGTTGGGAACCTTTTTGAAATCCCAGGAAAACTATAACACTACTCTCCACTGGGTGCTGACAGGTAGGGAGAATTGAGAAGAGATCACATAGGTCACTAAATGTCAGGTCTTGTGGGGTGGTCTTCTATGGATGGTGGGAATATGTAGCATAATACAACATACACTATCTAAATTTTGTTCCAGTTTTGTTTCTATCATAAAGAATAAAGACCTTGTCAGTAAAAACTGAGTCACAGGAGAGGCTTGATGCATAACATTGTGAGATGGTAGGTCAGATACCACTGGGGGCGGGTGGTTAATTGCTGTTTAAGGACTATTGAAGATGAATTACTTTCCTGACCTCTGGGTTACTTACTCAGGAGTGAATGATGCATCGTAGTTCCATAGGACGCAGCTGTGGAGTGAGTGCAGTTCCCAAACAGAGTTTCTGATACCAAATGAGGGGTGGACTTGACTGACAGGATGTGCCATATTGTTTCACCCCCTGAGATTCACCTTCATGTTAAAAAACAAAACAAAACACTGTGATTCCCCTGTGGTTTAAAGCAGTGTAAACAACCAATAGGTGTGATTGTTTAATGAAGTGTTAATAGCATCAATAAAACAAAGCTAGCATTTGAAATATAAAAGTATAAAATGATGCTCTCCTGAAATCTTAAAAAATTGTTTATAACCTTCAAAACTTCATCTGATAACAAGTACTTTCTTATGATTTTCACACAAAAAGAACTTTTCATTAGATAAGAACCCATGTAACTTTTTTTAAAATCTCATCATAAATAGGATGACCCATTTTATTTATCCATATAACTGGAACATTCCAGTGTTGTGATGGTCAAGCTTCCAGTTTTTGAAAAATGCTTAAAAACTATATTTTTCCCCCAATCTGACTCAAAATCAAGGTTTTAAAATCACAATCTATTCTTTTTAAAATCCAGGTATGGGGAGGGTTGGATTTATGAGTTACTTCATGCAAAAAAATAGATTTATGCAAAAAAATGTAGATGCATTTCACCCTTTTGTTCTTGACTATAACAAAATGGAGGTGAGGAGAGGGTAAGATAAGATGACTGTCTGTTTATGTGCAAAACACTGGATTAGTACCTGTAGAAATGAATCAGGGAAAACATCCTTCTATAAATTAGTGGGTTTTTTAAAATAAAAGAATACCCTGTGATAACCTTTTTAAGAAATGTGCAAAATTTGTTTTAGATTTTATGACTGCACATTTTTGGTTCACATTAAATCTGTAAAACTTTCCAACCTGGTCTATCTTCAGATCAATGTAAATCAATGTCAGAAAGTAAATAATGGACGGTGGATTTTAAAGCATAAAGAGTTTTCAATTTGTTGCTGTTATTTTGATAATATATTTAAGTGTTTGTGTATGTCTCCAATTACTGTTCTTGTTCCGCAGGTTTGCCATCAGCAAATTTAGCTGCACCTAACCTTACTGTAGAAGAAGGAAAGTCTATCACATTATCTTGCAGTGTTGCAGGCGATCCAGTTCCGAATTTGTACTGGGATGTCGGTAATCTGATTTCCAAGCATATGGTAAGGCTTATGTTTGGCTCTGTGCTCATAGAGAGGGTAGTGTCTTAAAACTTGAGGTTGCATTAACCTAGTGATGAGCATTTAATATTTTATATGTCACAGAGAGACCTTTATGATGAGTTTTGGATGCACATTTACTTTCCGTGTATCTTTAATTAATAAAGACTAATACAGGTGTGCATATTAGTCGTGTCTGCCCAGTAAATGGGAAAGTCTCTATGTCCTAGTGAGTTTTTTTGTATCATCATGAGCAAAGTGGGTGACTCTCCTTGTGGTCTTTTCCTTTGGAGGAAGGTAGGTAGAAATTCAAGGATTAAAACAATTTTTCTCATTAGAGAGTTGAAATATGGAGAAATAGAATAACTTCTGATTTCTTCCCTTGCCTAAGCCTGCTTCAGGATGGAAACAATTTTCTAATGTTATACACACACACACACACACACACGTATATTTTCTCTCTAATTAGGGGAAGAAACCATAAATCTTGTCACCTTAAGATCCTTACTAACAAGGATTTTTTTTTCTGTTAATTCTTTTGTAGAATGAAACAAGCCACACACAGGGCTCCTTAAGGATAACTAACATTTCATCTGATGACAGTGGAAAGCAAATCTCTTGTGTGGCAGAAAATCTCGTAGGGGAAGATCAAGATTCTGTCAACCTCACTGTACACTGTACGTAATCAGACAGGCATGTGTTTTTAATAGCAAATGATCATGGACACACCTACATGTGTCACTGGGTCACTGTAGGTGTTGCTAAAGTGTGTTAAAAATGTTTAGGCAGTATTTTGTGGGTACTTAATTAAGAGACCATCAGTTTTTTTCACTTGTTCTATTTCTGCTAAACTCTCTTACTCATGCATTGTGTTTCTTTTAAGATTGTTATTATTATTATTATTATATTTTTATCTTCAGCTTGTCCTCTGTGCCTTCCTCATCTTTTGTTGCTACATATATTTTCAGCAGGATATCCTCCTCTGGTTAATAAGTTTTAGTGTAAATTCTGATTAATCCATTTCTAAAAATTTCTTCTTTATGCAAGCAAAATGAATTTTAAATTGTGATATTTAAAGCATTGCCTGGCTGTTCATAAACACCTAATTGTGTTGTTGATGCAGTAAAACCTCATTAGTTTGACATCAAGTTTCTGTGGGAAGGTCCAATTTAAGCTGTCAAAAATTATTATCACCTAGAAAACTTATTGTTATTCTAAATTTTAGTATACATTGAGATTGAGATATAGGATATTAATGCTTTTTAAACATATGTGCATTACTTCCCAGTATTATAAATAACACAACACATCTTAACATGCCAGATGGTGGTGTTCAGTGTGAATGTGTATTCAGTAAAAATCATATAATTTTCACATCATTACAAATTCTGAGCTGGCATGGTATAAATTAATGAGGCTCTATTCTGTTTGGATTAGGGTTTGGTTGAGAATATACACTTTTCACATCATTGCATATATGTCAGAATGAATACACATTGCACACATGCAGCACATGCTTACTGGAGTGAATCACTGAAATTACCAACCTAATTATTTATTACTGTCAGAACCACCTCTGCCCAGTAGATACTGGACTCCTAATTTCTCATCATTTCACCCACTCTCAGAAGCCTGAAGTCAATGCTATCCCCCAAACATATGCAACCAGCTTCGAACATATGTTCTTTAAATCAGCACCTCCCCCAAAGCTCATCTGACATGGTGGAATAAGTGGTTCTGGGTTTGGGGGCCTGGGCTGGTGGGAGGAGGTAAGTGTAGAACCTGCCCTATCATGTTCTTTGTAACACAGACCTCTAAATAGGTGTGTTTTACGTGTGTTCTTTATTCTGGATAATGGATTTAGAGCTCCCTTCCCCAAATTGTGTTTAAATTGAATTTTTATACATGACGTAACATATGAAAAAAATATTACACCTATGACAGGTATTTGATAAAAAATTAAGTTTGTAAATTTAAGTTTTATAGTATTGCATTTCTTAAGATGAAGAACCCTGTTACAACACACATCTGCAGAGTTCAGATACTCCCTGTGCTCACTTAGAAGGAATTTCACTGCTAACTGGAAATCTTCCTGTAGATTTTGAAGGTGAATTAGTCTCTCTTATCAGCTTTGCTTCTTCTTGTTGTCCTGGGAGGATTTATCTGAGCACAAATAGGAGGTAAAATCAGATAATATCAGGTTATCTAATAAGGACATTCAGATTCAGAATTTTCTCGGTTTAAGCAAATATCTATGTGATCACTGTAATTTGAGGAATTGACCATAGAGCTATCACATTCAAGATCAAGAGTAGAAGGAATAAATGATAGAGAATATTAACAACTGAGATAACATTTGCAGTGTCCCCACAAAGGGTAGATGATGTTTCCCCTTTTTGTATTGAACTACAAGGTGCGGAACCCGTATAACCAGGGAGCAGTGTCTGAATGGGCAGGGCTACTGGATTAGGCATCAGGAGACCTGGATTCCTGTTTCAGATTTGCCTCTCAGTTACATTTATTTTCAGCAGGACAACCTTGACTAAGTCACTTAATCGCATTGGACTTGGGTTCCTTCATCTGAAAAATGATGCCATTAGATCTTGAAGGTCTTTTCTGGCCTTTGATTTTGTAGTTATCAGTCAGGCCACATTAAAATAAAAAGTGATGAGGGATTTTAAATGCCTTCATTCAAACTAAGTACTTTGTTTAAAAATGCTACTTGATAATGTTTGTTTACCCCTGAAACATAAATTGCTTTATACTTAAAATCATTTCTAGCTTGTTTGTCTAGGTTTAGAAAGAACTCTAGACATTTAGAGGATAATAGAAAGAGCATTGGCATTTGAAATCTAGCACAAATGGACTGAACTATAATGGAATGTGATGCTTTTAAAGGACATTTTCTATTTACAAGCAGTGACAAATCACAATTTATCATACTTTATAGTAATCAGTCAAAATTAGTAGCAACATTCATGACATTGATCAATTAGATAAGTTATGTGAGATTAGCGCTTCTGTCAAGACTTCCAAAGTCATGTTTTGTCATTATTTGTATTATTTAATGAGGAAACAATGTATAAATAGTGCCCCTCAATCTTTTCATAATGAATATACATAACACTAAGGCATATGTATTAGAAATCAAGTTAACCTCAAATGAACCTTTTCCACTGTCAGAAATCTCTTGGCTCTGTTTGGAGCTGGTTCTTACACTGAATAAATTTTAAAAATGACTGTGGTGCATGGGTCTTAAGTAAAGTAGAGAAAGGAGTCTTTCTGAAGCTCTCTGTGGGGAATTAAAACAACTTTAATAATAATACAAAATATTGATGGATTCCAGAGTTCATAGTTATATATTTTCTTAACCCAAACAATAGTGAATAAGATTCCCCTATCTTAGAAATCTGGACATGGGGCGAATTCTGAGCGTTCTGATGCTATTAACTCTCTCTTTTTCAATTTAGTTGCTCCAACTATCACATTTCTCGAATCTCCAACCTCAGACCACCACTGGTGCATTCCATTCACTGTGAAAGGCAACCCCAAACCAGCGCTTCAGTGGTTCTATAACGGGGCAATATTGAATGAGTCCAAATACATCTGTACTAAAATCCATGTTACCAATCACACGGAATACCATGGCTGCCTCCAGCTGGATAATCCCACTCATATGAACAACGGGGACTACAAGTTAGTAGCCAAGAATGAGTATGGGAAGGATGAGAAACAGATTTCTGCTCACTTCATGGGCAGGCCTGGTATTGACACTGGTGAGTATTTGATGCTTTTGCATTGGGGAGAGGATTGGGATGTTACTCAGCTATTACCTAAATCATGTATACAATGAACCACCCCCAAACCAAGTGACTTGAAATGCTATTATCTAGTGGAATTATATTCAACTGGGGTAGGTTTTGTGACATGAGTCTTTATTCTGGGGCTCAGGTCTACACAGGTCTGCATCTTATGACAAGTGTGGAGTATAGGAGGCCATCTAAACATCTGTGAGTCTTTTTAGGGCCATGGTTCATGGTCTTTTTAGGTTCATGGTCTCTTCAGTCTATATGCCAAGTCTGTAGCAGGGATCATTTAAAAAATAATCTAATATACATGTTTGATTTTGTCTCCAGTGATTAATGAGATTTTGTACCCATGAAGGCAAAACTCATGCAAAACTTTGAGCAGCCTAATTGTATTTGGTTGGCTCATAAATATTTATATTTATTTTCCATCCCTTCTCTGTAATTCACATTCCTTTCTCATCCATGGTTGAAAAACCATTGTCCTGAAATGCTTTGCTCATCTGGAATCGTTGCATTGAGGTATTATTATTATTTTTTTTATCATAGCCTGAATTGTTTTTCTAGGAGTGGTAATATTTTTGATATGACCAATAGGTAGAAGAGGTTAGAAGGTTAGAAGAAAGATGACAGGCATCAAGGATCCACATTGTGGCTAGGTTGAGAATTTCAGTTTGAAGCCCAGTAATATTAGAGATTATTGCCTTGCATTTACTTGCCTCAGGTACTGTCATGCAGTGGAAAATTCCTCTTTTCTTAATAAATTTAGTTAGCTTATAACATTATATAAGTTTTTGATTGCACAATAATGTAATTCGACATCACTACATACTACATCAGGCTCACCACCAACTGTCTCATTTCCATCCATCTCCCTAGTATTGACCTCTTTTATCCTTTTTTCCACCAGCAATACCTTTCTGGTAACCACATTTTGTTCTTTGTATCTGTTTGTTTTTGTTTGTTTTATATTTACATTCCACATATGAGTGAGGTTATACAATATTTGACTTTCTTCAGCTGACTTTATCACTAGCTATTTTTAAGTCATACATCTGACAAAGGGTTAATATCCAAAATATATAAAGAACTCATACCATTCAACAACCCAAACCAACCTGATTAAATAATGGGCAGAGGATCTGAATAGACACTTCTCCAAAGAAAACATACAGATTGCCAACAAGCACATGGAAAGATGTTCGTCATTACTAATTATCAGAGAAATGCAAATCAAAGCCCCAATGAGATATCACCTCATATCTGTTAGAATCTTTATTATCAAAAAGAGAAGATATAGCAAGTGTTGGGGAGAAGGTGAAGAAAAGGGGGGCTTGTATGTTATTGATGGGAATGTAAATCAGCGCAGTCACTATGGAAAACAATATGGAAAGTCCTCAAAAAATTAAGAATAGAAATATCATGTGATCCAGTTATCTATCTTTTGGGTATTTATCTGAATAATAGAACACTAATTCAAAAAATATATAGTGCCCTTATGTTCAGTGGAATGTTCTTATTTGCTCTATCTTGTAGCCCCAAACCTGATATCATTGTGGAGGCCGAGGCTTGTGGTAGGCTATTGGGACCTGTGTGTAAATGGAATTTCTCATTGTAATAGCTCTAAGTTCATTAAAGTCACCTGAAGATGACTTGGGAAGGCAAAAGGAAATTTGAAGTTCTGTGAGGCAGTGCCTGCTTGGGCAGCATATGCTGTGTGGCTTACCAAGCCGCTCCACAGTCAAAGGTGATGGATGTGAAGACACCAAACAATAGATGAGAATGCAGTCGTTCTCATTACATAATAAATCTTCCCACTATCCTGGTATTTATTAAACAGCTTTTTAAATATGCAAGCTTCCTTGGCTTGTTCAAAATGTGATTTGAATTATATAAGTTTGATTTACAAACAGCCTTTCAGGAGCACATAAAACAAACTAAGTTTGGATGCCTTACCCAGACACCTTGGCAGTTGTTATATTTCTCATTAAATCTTCTTAATTGAGAATTTAGCTGCCTGGCTACATTTGCCATGGTAAATCTCTAGATTACTGTTTCTTCCTGCATATTTGGGGGAATATAGCATTGTTGTTAAGTTTATAGACTGTTTTGAGACAACTGCTTTGTTAGTTTTTAACCAATATTTTGTTTGTGACTCTGTATTTTTCAGGTAGCTAATAAGAAACTTTTTATGTAGAGGTTTCAGGTGTACAACAGTATAAATCAATATCTGAATATATAATATTATGTTGGCCACCAAAAGTCTAGATTCTATCCATCATCATGCAATTGACTCTTTTTATTCTTCCAGTAAATTATATTATTATTATAGTCTTAGCATTTGTTTTTACTTTGTTTGTTCATTTGTTTTGTATCTTTATTTTCCATGTTTGAGTGAAAACCTACATTGTTTATCTTTCTCTATCTGACTTATTTTACCAAGCATAATGCCCCCTAGGTCCATTCATGTCATTGCAAATGGTAGGACTGCACACATTTTTATACCTGAGTAGAATTCCACTGTGCATGTATACATCTCCTTTATCCAGTCATAGGCTGATGTTCACTTAGGTTGTTTCCAACTCTTGGCTATTGTGTATAATGGTGACATAACCATGGGGTACATATATTTCTTCAAATTATTGTTTTCATGTTCTTGTGAATAATGTTAGATTTACAGAAAAGTTGCAAAGAATGTACAGAGAGTCACTAAAGAGCCCTCACCCAATTTTCTCCATTGTTAACATCTTGCATTATTTTTATTTCTCAAAACTAAGAATCTGACATTTGTATGTTACTCTTAACTAAAATTCAGAATTGATTTGAATTTCACCATTGACTGCCTTTTGAAACTGTTGGAGGTGAACTTGATTCAGGGTGAAGGGCTGGCATTTAAAGTTTTAGACATGTTCTGTGTGCTTTGATATATACACAGCTCTGCCAGTGGAAAGCCTGTAATTTCTATTTTAGATAGGATTTTGATGTATTTTCTTAAACATTTCTGTAGGGTGCCAATATGTGGGAGAATTTAACTACTCTTATTCATGTGACCTCGTTTTTATTGAACATTTCTGTAGTTTTAACTTATCTAGTGATAGAAAGAATTGCTTTCTAGCATAAGAATAATTGGAGTCTCTCAAATATTCTCTTTAAAAGAAATAATTTATCAAAAATAAGTTATTTTATGAGGATTTTCTCTTTTCCTTGTGTTCATTATTTTTTATTAGATCTTTAAAAATAATTTCAAAAATTCTACTTTTAGAAAAGACTTTTTTTATTTGAATATTTACTCAAGGGCTAGCTATCAAGGATTAAATAAAAGTGGAAATGAGAAAGACTTGACCCACCATGACAGTAGATATAAATGGCCCTAATGGGTCATCAACCCTTTAGGTTTAATTGATGGGTCATCAATTAAAAATTGACTTCATTTGGCTTGTGTGATAGAATTTTTGTGGGCATTTATGAGATTTGTAGCCATGTCATATGTCCTGGTCTTTCCTAGAATTGCTGTCTCTTCCTCTAATCTCCCTTTAAAACTAAAGAAAAAAATAAACAAATTGTACCTATACCTATTATAGGTGCAATTTTCCTGCTGTCTATAGGTACATTCCAAATTAAGGATAACAGTTTGAGTTCGGTGTATATTCCTTCAACATGTCTGTTGTCACCATATAGCAATTAATGAAGAAGCATTGCTGTCACAGAGCTTTTTGATAAGACGTTTCTGCTATTTTTCTTCCTACTTGTTTTGATGACTTCCTTCTTGTTCCATTGTCAGTCTCCTGGCTTACAAGGCACAGGGAGCCTGGGCTCACTGTGAAGCCACTGCAATGCCACACACAGACAGAATTCAGTGGCAGTTCTGTGTCCTTACAGTATGTGCTCCTCATGCAGCTCAGAACTGAGATTTTCATGGGTGGGGACCTTGCTTAGGAATCCATTCTCTACTTGGGATTAGAGAATGAAGAGCATCAAAATCAATGAAAATACAAATGAAAAAAACGTAAGCAAAAGTCCCTAAACAAGAATAGGTGACCCTGAAAGAAGATGGACAAGTTGCTGTACTTTAATACTGATTGTTGATTGTTTTCACTGCTATCTGGAGTGGAGACACTGGATATGGGGGCAGATGCTCTGCTTTTCACTTGGAGGAAGGATAGGGTGGACATACCATCCTGTATCGGTCAGGCCTAGAAGGTGCCATCCATGGAGAGGGGTAAAGGCAGTAAAGATTCCTGTACGATGTCTTTCCTCATTGCTGAGCCTTGCAGACCTCAGACTCTGACCCCAGGCCCAGATCAGTTGCTAATGTTATCAGATCTGTAGAGGTTAGAAGGTCCCCACTTTCCAAGTCAATGCCTTCCCCATCTGCTAATCACTGGAAACTTGGCTTGGAGGAAAGATTTTCACAATTTCAAAGTGCTAGACAGATCATTTTGGAATCAGGCTTATAACTGAACTCAGTTCTAGTCAGTTTTGGGTTATGTTTAAAGCACAAAACCCAACTTTCAGCTTCAAAACGAAATTTAGAAAACAATAGTTTTTATATTTTGAGTACACCCAAGAGCACAACTTGTGACAGTAAGCTAATTTTATTTATTTCATTTTTGTTTCCATTCTTCCTTTAAAATTTATTCACAGGAATAATCTGGCTTCAAGAACAGTAACATCCTACTCCTTGGCGCACATTACAATTAACTGGATCGTTTTAATTATTATTTTATTTCATTTTTAAGATACATTCTTGGGACCCATCTCTAGCAATTTTGATTCACTGGCCCCTGGATGAGGCTTGGGTTTTGGCTCTATTTGTTTTCAAAATCCCCAGGGATTCCAAAGTTGAGGATCAGTGCTTTGGGTGGGTGCTTTGACCCAAGGGAGATTTTTCTGCTCATCGTTGAGTAATAAACAACAATTCTTTGGTGACTTTAGTTGCAAATAAAATCTCAACTGATAGAGCATGCATG